CGCCCGCGTCGATACCCGTCGGGCGCTACGGTTCTAGTTGTATTAGTGATAATATTCGACGATGTACGGACACCAAGAGATGATGTACTTTTGCTTATAATTATTGAATGCATGCTAATTTGAATACTATATTTTATTTTATGATTTGGTTTTGCTTATTTTATGATTTGGTTTTGCTTATTGAATGCTCATATTGGATAAGTTCTCCTTCATTCCCGTGTGCTAGACAATTTGATATAATAATGCATTCGGGAATGAAAGGAGGAGCTATGTACATCGATCATCGATAGTCAACCCGTGATTAATAATAATGATCTAGTTTAATATTTGAATTATGAACGTAGGCCGGAAATGTCGTACTCATTGGACGACGAAAACCGCCCGGGGGAGTGCGACTGGTGCCACGACGACCGAGGTATCTGCGACAGGTTCATTGAGCTGGACGAAGATCGGCGCTTCAGCATTAAGCTCGAGGAGACCTGCGATGTTCATACGGTACGCAACGACGACAATAGTTTTTTTCGTAATTAAGCACGATTTCAACTATTTTAACGCGTATTTTTCATCTTTTCCAATTCGACTAGCTTATCCCATGCTTTGCAAGACGCTATGTCTTGGAGAGGATGGGTTTTGAAGACTATGAAAGTTTCAAAACCAAAAAAATTATCCTAAGTACCCATCATGGTGTGGGTTTTCAAGTAAAGCTATACAATGCTCAGAGTGTAACCCATTTTGGTTGCAAAAATTGGGAAGCACTTTGCAAGATGTATGGTCTTGATGAGGGTATGCTTGTCACCATGGATCTTGGTGATCCTACAATCGAGCAAGAGAGACCTTCGATTTGGGTCCTTGTGGATACACCTCTAATTTTTTCCCCATGTGAGCTTAACATAGTTATTAAGTAATTTATATTGTTTATTTCAAAATATATAGTTGACAACTTATCTCCATTGTCAGCTTATTTTCATTCTTCAAAGAATGTGCGGAAGATGGTAGACAGAACCTACTACACCGAAGGCTCCGAATTAACTTATCAGGAGAAAAATCATCTGGTCGGATTTTATACTGATCTTGAGAATTACAATATCTACAATCAAACTCCTCAACATTATGGTCAATATGTGCCACTAGTGCACGTGTTGAACTACGGTAACTACTATGGAGATACCCTGGTAAGATTATTTTTTACTATTACAACATCCGTGCATCTTTTTGCACACTTCTAAAACTAGTACATCATTGCTAACTACGACGTTATTACTATGTTTTTCAACAGATAATCCCGAATGATTGTGTGCCTCATCTGATGTATACGCATGGTAGCCTTCATGTTTTGAACATACAACCAGGTCGTCCTACGAATCTCAACTGTCCATACCGGGTTTCTAAAAGAAGTGGAGACATAACAATCAAAGAATGGAAAAAATGTATGGACAGTCGTAAGGAGCGTCTAGGAAGCAATAAGCAGCGAAGGGCAAGAATTGGAGACATGATGATCGCCATTCTTCATAATGGAGAGTCAGGGTCTATATTGTTTTATGCTATTTTACCTTAAGGGTGTTTAGGTCCTACCTGATACTGATGATCATGTGCTAAGAACAATTATGTAGAGTTGGGTTCGATGACTATGAGGATGATGATCGCATGGCTTATTATTAATAACGAGTAGAAGTTGTATGATGATGCATGATTAGTAGGACTTGTTATTATATATGATGATGTATGATGCGAGCATGCATGAGCATGTTATATCAGCGGGTGAAATGAACATAGCAGCACTGTTGATAAACCAAGGACGAAGATATAAGAGAGGACACTTCTCTCTATTAGCTAGCTAAAAACAACCTAAAAATAACCCCCAAAACCCCTAAAGCAGCCACTTTTGTAAAAAAAAATATGGACTTTTGGTCCCGGTTGGAGCCACCAACCGGGACCAAAGGCCCCCTGACTGGGCTTGGCGCACAGGGCCACGTGGAGGCACATTGGTCCCGGTTCGTGTTTGAACCGGGACTAATGGGTGGAGGTATTAGTGACGACCCATTAGTCCCGGTTCATGAACCGGGACTAAAGGCCCTTACGAACCAGGACTATTAGGTGTTTTTCTACTAGTGATGCCATTTTAAGCTACTTCGTTGATGGTTGAAGCATGCCGTTTTGGGGTGCTGACTCAGTAGTGGTACAAACCAAAAATGCTTCATGGACAGATGCTTTACGGAGATATTATAGAGCTTTCGAAAATTTTATAAATCTCCTCTGAGTTTAATACCTAAAATCCTCATATATTATAAAAGCTTGTCCGCAATTAAATTTTCAGTTTTCCTTATATTTTAATATTTCATTCATTTGTTAATTCCATTTTAAGTCTTTATCCCAAAATATAAAAAACTACTCCCTCCGTTCATAATATAAGAACGTTTTTGACACTACACTAGTGTCAAAAACGTTCTTATATTATGGGACGGAGGGAGTAGTTTGCTAATCTTGTTCTTAAATTTTGCTATATTTTCTATCTACCTTGTCTGGATTATTTGATACAACCTAGTGTTTTCCCTATTTATAGTATCTCCATGCCCTGTCAGTCCATATCTTAATTCCCACAGTGTATTTTTGACATTTGTGGAGACAGACGTCGATGTCATCACGTGATCACTGATTAATGGAGTCATTGTAACTTCTATATGGTTGATAATCGATCGGATTGGAAGGCGTGGGTGCGTGATAGCGAAAGGCTGCTAACAGCTCTTGTGATTTTGTTTTTGTGGGACACGTAGGTTGATAGTGATTGTGTTTTTGCCACGTAGTGCCTATATAGACACGTGTGTACAGGCTGGCTAGCAGCAACATTATCAGTCGCACAGTTGCACTGTATATATACCTAGCCCACGTGATTGCACAGTTGGTCTGCTACTTAACATTTTCTTCTTTTCTTTTTGAAACAGTGCCAAAAAATTTATGTCATGCATTATTTAAGCAGAAGAAAATTGCTCGTCTATTAGCGAAAACCGGGCGAAAACCATCAGAAACCACTGAGCGACATAGAAAATACCCCACACACACACCTTTCCAAAGAGGGTCTGTCGATACAGAACACAAGCGTGATCGTCATCACTCCTTCTCTAAAAGGCATCATCGTCATCCCTAAACCCTAAGCAAATGACTCCGACTTAGCTGTAGATGATCGTCAACCCACCACACATTATAGAGGAAACTGAAGTTGTATGAAGATCCGTGCCAGAACTCAGCCACATGCGACCAGACAACACAGCTACGACTCTGACATAGAATTGTGAAGGAGAACTAGACAGTGATGGCGCCATGAATGATCATCGAACGGACCACCTGTTGCCCGTCATCATACGCCACGAGGACCCCGCCACCATAGCTTCGGCTTCACAACAACAAAAAGGCCGAGAAAATTCAATGGACACGTCCGAGAAGAGCTGACTACCTCAACCATTGCCACATCTCGGTCATCACTCACAGCCGCCATCGTCGCCACCGAAGCATCAACGCCAACACACACCGACATCTTCCATTGGCCGCCACTCGACGACGTTCGCCGTGCCTATGCTTTGTTGGGCTCCCCCGCTACCCGAGCGCCTCACGAGAGGAAGAGAAGGGACGTGTCGCCAACGCCACCGCGCGGGCTTTGCGTGCTGGCGCCCTTCGCGGCGGCGAGGGGGTGGTAAGTTGGGAGGGTGATTTGTGGCGGCGCCAGTTAGCCAAACATAATAAAATTTACACCATGGTGTTTGGACCACCGAACAACCACTAGCACAGCCCACATGCCCACGGTCACTGCTCCCTTATTACCAAAGCCAAACTAACTTTTTTGCTGACAGCCAAAACGTTTTGTCGGCATTCTTGAATCGACCTGAAGCGTCTAATGGTAAAACCCATCGACGCACGCATGATGAAATATCACAACCTCAGCGTTCAAGGAGGCAAACAGAATTCTACGCGAGGGATCCGTCCAATCAATGGATTTGAGGTGGATCGAAGCCCGGAAGACTAGCTATCTCGACGCCGAAGTGCCCCCATCCGTCGAGCGCCCGTCGGTCGAACATATATTACTTGTAGCTAAGAAAGGTTCGTGGCGGCGACGTTGTTGTACTTTTAGTTACCTCTAATGTTTTTCGTACTGCCATGATTGATTGATAGATTAGAAATTTCCCTATGCGGTGAGAAAACACGGGAGAAGAGAAGAGAAGAGAAGTGGACGTGGGCAGAGCAAGAGGGCGACAATCGGGCGGGATGTGTTGACCGTGAAACCGCGTGCGCGGGGTTTTCTCACTCAGTCACTACTAGTACTTGTCGCTCCCAACACGATCACGTGCGTGCATCTCATCAACAAGCCATGTTACTTGTAGTACCGTCGCGTTTCACTCTGGTTACGTGGCGGATGTGAAGCTGCAGAAAAGCAACGCCTATCATATTTGTGCAACGTGCGGGAGGGCTACAGTAAAAGGGACGGTGGATCACTCGGAGGGAGAAGGGTTGACCTCTGACTTGCACCGTTGCTCTAATCCTCTCCACTCATGTTCATCTATCTCTCTCTCTCTATCAAAAAAGAAAAAAGAAAGATTCCATCACCTTTCTTTTTCACTCGCTTTTTCGCTGCCTGCTCCCTCTTCCTCCTCCGTCCTCCCACCACCTCTGCTGGCTCTGTCTCTGGCTGTATAAATAACAGTTTTGCTAGAACTCATTTAAATGAGATATAGTTTGGTCTCATTCACCTTTTATAGCCATTGGATGTGATGCTATAAGATGCGTGTGTGCTGATGTGGGTTGTATCTGTTCTTGTTTTCAAAATGAATGAGACCAAATTATATCTCATCTAGATGAGTTCTAGGCACTCCCTATAAATAAGCTCCCCTCCCCTCCCCCAGCTCAACCACCAGCTCCAACCTCCCTCCATCCACACCTCAGCCTCAGCTCACCTGCTCCATCCGTCCTCCTTGGGAGAGAGAGAGAGAGACCAAGAGCAACTCATCCAAACAATGAAGAGCAGGAGGCAGAGCGGCCGCGGAGGAGCCATGGTCGCCGACGGGGGCTGCAAGATGGAGCGCAAGGACGTGGAGAAGAACCGCAGGCTGCACATGAAGGGCCTCTGCCTCAAGCTCTCCTCCCTCGTCCCCTCCTCTGACCACCACCTCAGACACTATTCTTCCTCGCCGCCGTCCAGCAACAAGGTATTCTGCCTACTACCTTAAACATCCTCCTCTTCTCTTCTTCCTCTCCTCTCCTCTTGTGTTGATTCGCCTCCCCAGCAAAAGGCACATCTTGGCAGATTGATTGATTAGCCCAACTCACGCAGCTGTCAGGACACACAGCTGATTAACCACACTGTTACCGAGCAGCAACACGCAGTAGAGAATACGTGTTTTCCTCAAGAAAAAGAAAAAAACATCAAGTACGCGTGTGATGTGGAGCACCTACTTCTATGGTCCACTGAATTATGATGTCTGAAATTGGTTGGTGCTGAGTGACCACCTTCACAAGAAAAGAAAATATCTCATCATCATTTCGGCACGTGACAGATTCGATGCCATAGATAGCGATCGGTATGGTACCACTCACTCACGTGCTACCCGTCCATTGGATAACCCGTCCCCAATAATTACTTTCTGGTCAAGAAAAATTAAAATGTTTAGTCGATCAATCCATCCCCAATAATTTGTCATACAAAATTATTTTTGAAGATCACTCTCCCGATTGGGTTCACATGGATCTGCCATACAAAATCTGAATATATTTCTGATTGCAAACGCGAGATGATGCCAACTGGTTGATGAGTTATTTTACTAGCCATTAGAGCATGGTTAATAGTATAGCTAGTTGATGGCTATATGATATTGTCAATGTCATCTATAGTTAACCTTATGCATGGCCAACAAGTACAATAGTAATATATGAAGATGTGCTACTTTATTAATACATGGCTCACTTTTCATTCTTATATACTAGTGCCTAGGAGCATGTGCTGCAGCTGGCTCTTATTCTGTAGCCTGCTCTTCTTCTCTCCCCTTCATATCATAAAAGAAGTTAACTCTTATAGCCTGCTTATTGTACTTGCTCCTGCCAGCAGCATCAATTGGTCGCTTAATCTGACTTAGTTGTGTGGTGTTTTCAGGATGCGGCGACGCAGCTGGACCAGTTGGACAGCGCGGCGGCGTACATCAAGCAGCTCCGGGGCCGGATCGACGACCTGAAACGCCGCAAGCAGGCCGCCGTCTCCGGCACCGCTGGCTGCTCATCCTCCATCTCCACGGGCGACTACAAGCGAGCTCCTTCAACGGCCACGACAGCGCTGCCGGTGATCGAGGTGCGGCACCAGGACGGAACTCTGGACGTGGCGCTGGCGAGCGAGGCCGGGCGGCCGTTCCAGCTGCACGAGGTGATCGCCGTGCTGGAGCAGGAGGGCGCCGAGGTGGTCAGCGCCAGCTTCTCTGTCGTCGGCGACAAGATCTTCTACACGGTCCATTCCCAGGCGTTGTACCCCCGCATCGGCCTCGAGGCCGGCCGCGTCGCTCACCGGCTGCGCGGCCTCGCCACAGCCGCAGCCGTCTCGCCGTCGGTCCTCCTGACATGATCTCTTTCTCTCTTTCTTCGTTGTTTTGCCATGGTGACCGATTAGCTGATCTATTGGACGAATTTTCTCGTGGGGGGGCGAGATTCTCGGTTACCACGGTAGCCGAGAAATACCGAATATATTTCAGACGAAATTTATTATTGAATTTTATATTCAAATTCTTTTAACCTCAATATAGATAGCGATTGAATAGGTAGTAACCACAGAAGTTGTAGTATCTCAGTGGAACGCCTACAATCGCTGGACAAATTGTCTATCTTTTTTCATGTACATATTTTGCAAAATAAACAAAAAAAAGGATATGCGCAAATGAGGACTCGAACCTGCGTCGCCCTGCTATCGGAAGTACATGCTTACCACCACGCCACAGCTAACTCTTGTTATATTTTTGTGATGTCCGTCCATACTAGTACATGTTCAAAGGTAAAAATTCAAAAAATTCGGGATTTTTTGCTCGGGATATGACTTTCTCGTGGGCCGGCGAGAATCTCGGTAACCGCACGGTAACCGTTTTTCTCGGGCGGTACCCAAAACCATGGGCGTGATCGCTGCTTTGAAACGGCCACGCGATCTGCATGGCTTAGGGAATCGCACGAGATCGCGCTGCTATCGAGGCATGAGATCTGCAAAATGGACGTATCACCTTCCCGCTTGGCAAGCTTGGCAAGCACTACAAACTACAAAGTAGATCCTTGTCAAAGATGACATCTCTCACGCCCAATATGTGATCACTCTTGATCAACTTGTTGAGATTGCACATCCCTACATGACCAGGCCTTCTATGACAAAGCCATCCATAAGAAAATTTAGCAATAAGACATGTACGAACTCTTCGTCCTTGTGAGAAATTGATAACATAAAGATATCCAATACGAACACCGGTAAAAACCATAGTATAATCATCTTTACGAAAGACTTGACAATCAACTTTGGTAAATAGCACATAAAATCCATAGTCGGTTAGTTTTGCAATGGAAAGAAGATTGTAACCAAGTGATTCAACAAGCATGATCTTTTGATTGAGTGTGTCTACATATGATCACTTTACCAAGACCGTATACCTTCCCTTCGGAATTGTCTCCAAAGGTGAAATTTCTTCTTGATCTATCATTCTTATGGAGTTCTTGGAACCTGTATCTATCTTCGTTCATGTGGTGAGAGCACCCGCTATCGAGTACCCATTCTATTGCACCGGGAGAATTGTCTTTGTGAGATCTTGACATGAGACGCCTAAAGATGCAATCACACTCATCTCCTTCATCGACATCATAGTCATTATTATTTCCTGCATTGTTAGTTTCTCTAACACCATGTTTTTCACTTATGCAATGAATTAGAAGAGCGGATGAAAGGATATTGACAACGATAGGGACATCGCTTTTCTCTCGAATGAGTGCGTTGAGTTCATGCAATTGCCTTGCAAAGCTTGGATCTTTTCATCCTTCATCTTCAAAACTACCATAGCCTTATGGTGAAATTCATCAGGATTTTTGAGAGAATAATCTCGAGAGTCATAATAGCATTAGTCCAATTCCTTCCAAACAACATAAGCACTGTCAATGTCAGTTAACTTTCTAAGTAAATGATCAGTAATTCCTCTAACAATAAGTTGTGTAGCTCTAGCATTACATATCATATTAAGTAAAAACGTGCGACCACTAGTCTGCGCACTGAACTACAGTCACATCTATTTAGGAAAGATGGTACTCCCTCCGTCTAGGTGAGTAAGTCATCTTAGGTTTGTGCACCATGACCAAGGACGAGGAGAAAACGAGAGAATTTAATGTTTATTTGCTAATTAATAGCATTGCATGCAATGGACTAACCACTGCATGTCGTGTTTGGTGGTCTCAAGTCATTAAAAGCATGCACACTCCACATCTCTTATTGGTTGATATGTCAAGAAACAAGAAACGAGGTAGAAGTTAATTTACCGCGCCTAAATGTTTTGGGATTATTTGGTTTTCATAAGATGACTTACACACCTAGATGGAGGGAGTAAGATTTTTACTATTTGTCCTCAGTGCATGTTTTGCATACATTTTCTTAAGCTAAACTTCATTGCTAAGTATGTTACTATGATGTTCTTCAACAGGGACTCCCGATGAATGTTGTGCCTCGTTGGATCGAGCCTGAAGGTCGCATGACAATGGTTAGCTTACGGCCAAGATATCTTGCATTGCACATGAGTGCATTCATGATTTCTCAGAGCGAGCAAGTCTTAATAGTCAAAGACTGGAGAAAAATTGTGAGGGATCACATCAGAGCAGTACTAGGGGGCAGCGATCAGAAGTGCGGCCCACAATTAGGAGACGGGTTCATCTGCATTCTCCAATATGATGAAGCAGGAGTGCCACACATGTTTTATGCTATTTTACCTGAGAGAGAGCAGCAGGAGTGATTAGCTAGCTAGAATGAGTTTGAAGATGATGATGTGCTACACTATGACTATGATGATTAAATAGCTAGTCTTGGTGATAATGACTATGATGATTATTATTAGCTAGTGTTGGTGGTGATTAGATAGCTACACTATGACTATGATGATTAAATAGTGTTATTGGTAATGACTATGATGATTATTAGCTAGTGTTGTTGGTGATGATATGATGCAAGAGTTCTTATATTAATATGATGATGATGTTGATCATGATTATCATGATGATTTGTTATTATGATCATGATTAGTTATTATATCATTGGTGGAATGAACGCGGATTAGATTTCATGTGGAGGGATCAAAAGTGACCAAAAGTCACCTCTCTCTATTTGTATAGTAGCTAGCGTCGACCAAGCACGGAGAAAGAGAGGTCACTTCTCTCTATTAACTAGCTAACACAATATGA